TGATTCACGTGGACTGTTATGTCTCTTAGGACCTGAGTGTCTTCCATAACGTGAGATTTAAAAAAAAAAAAAATTCAATTGTCATGACCACTGCATAAATGACAGCTCGTATAACAGCAGTTCCAATTTCGTTTATCCCCATTTCTTTTTTCTTTCCCAGAGAAAAATATCCTCGTCCTTTACACTGGTTGGCGTCCACTCTTTGCAGATTACACTATCATCCGCTACACATTCGCCCAGATGAGATCCTCTTGTTCTTATGAAATATCTGTGTATCTACGAAAGGGATATCGACGAACACGTAGGTATACAGTTGTTGCAGTTATCGATATTGGTTTCCTTTCCTCGCTTTAGTCCTACCCTTAGTAACAAAAAGCATGTGATTTTTTTTATCAAAGTTTGAGTGTGTGTCGGTGTCGTCATTCGTTGAGCGTGAAGGTGCAGTTTGAAAAATAGGCTAACCGCTTCAGGGAAATGCTGGTTGGCGCTCATCGATAATTCCACAAATTCCGTTCCGTACAGTGTAGCCCCCGACGGCGAATCATAACTATTCCAAGTCCTAGTGGCTAGTCTGCTCTGGATCTGTTCCCACCGAATCGGGGAATCCCCTAGCGGCACGATTCGCGATCCTTGTAAGTCTCGTTGAAAACGAGCGTCTACCTCTCAAGGAGTGTCCTCCTTCCTTTCCTTATGGCTGTATCCTCAATGGGGGAACTTGCGTCAGCTCCCAGGGGACGCAGACTGTGGCTGGTTGAAGTTCTCGGGGTACCTATAGTGCGTCCCGGCAGTTGGGCACCCCTTGCATGCGGGTTGTAACGGCTACAGTCAATTTGATAGATTTTTAAAACAGTTCATGGGTCCTTGATTTGGAAAACATTGCCATTGATACATGCGCGCAGCGCACAATGGATCTCTAGTATTGCAAAACAATTAAATATTTAACGAGTAACGAAGAACTGTTAGATTTCCTAGGGCCGTTCTGAATTGTGCGAGAACAATTTGTGACGAGCACAGGCTTACAATTTCCGGGAGCCAATGCAGCCGGAAATTCGGGAACCAGGATGGGAGATGAATGGAGGACCGGAGGGTATAGAGTATAGAAAAGCGTGGGATTGGGGAATGGCGGATTCTCTCAGGCGGAAAAGCACGGGTTCTAGAAGAGAGAGAGGGAGAGAGAGAGAATGATATATATACGTATGTATGTAAATATAAAATAAAGATCTTTCAATAAATTACAGGCTCTCTAATTATAGATTTGATTAATTTTAATTGGCTGTTCTTCGACGATATCTTAAATATTGATAATTATGCAAATATTACTTAATTATATAATTGTTACGTAATTTATTTATATTTCATTTATTATCATTCTAATTTTCAATTCCCATATTTTCTTCTCTACCCTTCGTTGGATGTATGTCCCCGCGAGGGATCAATTAACCTTATTTTTGTCTTTGTGCAATTTTAAATTTTTTAATTAAGCACGGTTTTGTTTTTAACATTGTATTACTAAACGCCTAAAAATTAATTAAATTTTAACGTAACCAACTGCACTCGGCTCTTTGCTCTACAGTACCAACATAAAATTGTTGTTTCAGCAAAGTTTTTCGAAGCGTCTGGAGTTTACGAGAAAAATGTATTTCCCTCTGCCGGGTGGCCGACGTACCAGGCGTGCCAACTTGTTTTCCCATTTCAATCTTCTTGGGATTCTTACTCGTTAAATTATCGCTGTTGTTTTTCTTTATTCTCGGATTCTCATTGTTTCCTTTTTTTTTTTCTTTCTTCCGTATCTCGCCAATTGTTGCACTGCGTTCCCATAAATTTGCGACGACTGCATCGTTTCCTCAGAGATTTCTATTTCTCAAGCTTTCCTCAAATTTCAATCTCGTGCATGAATCTGAAAATAAAAATATTTTTCAAAAATTTAATAACACTACTTACAAATCGATGAATATCAATAGGTCACAGTTATCCTCTAATATTTCACTCTCATATCTCTTGTTGTTGCAGGAAATTCGTATCAGCCTTCCGGAAATGTTTTTGGAAAGTCAAGAAACTACAAAGAAATTTTCGTTATACGATCACGTGGTTATGTAAGATTTTTTAAAATTTTTTATCTTCTATCACGTTACCCAATTAACGATCAATTTCGGTGACTTCTCTGATTTTTTATCATAGATCATAATCACATAGATGGGCACCGTGGTGTGTCTACCTACGGCAAGGATTTGTCTAGGTTCAGATTGTTTACCACCAGAGTCACCAGGTGAGCTAACGACGATTCTACCCAATCAGCAAAGACCTTCGTACGGTAAGTAATAACCATGAAAATTGACATTGATACAATATACCCAAATTGACATCCCTTTGTTCTCGTCTATTCAAAATCGCATATAATCCCCAGTGTTCACAATGAAACTTTAACCCATAATCCGTATAGCCGAACCCAGTACCTGCCAATTGCATGGAAACGTCATACCGCATATAGAACGAAAAAGGATCGCCGACAAGCTACACACAGGAGTAATGCGCGGAGTCTACAAAATGTTTCTATGCCCATGCGCCTGAAATGCGTTAGTGCATTCCCATAAAAAAAACCATACTATTTCAATCCCATTGTCAACTTTGACCTTTGTGATTTTAGCAATGATAAAACAGACGAGTTCTCATATGAAATTCAGGATAAATAAAATCTCAACCGGATTTGAATTTTCTTCTTCTTCTTCTTCCTTATGGCTTTATGCCCTCATAGAGGGCCAAGTGCCAGAGGATTTGAATTTTAAAGATGAATAACAGTGTGGATTGAGGTTAGATTTTTGTTCAAGCAAATACAAAGTTCATAGTTTTACTACTAGTTATACCATAAAAGGTGTACCTTGAAGATTTTTATGAGGCAGGAGCTTCCACATAAAAGTAATACACGTTGACTGTACTTTTTTATTGGTCATGACGACTCTAGGACAATATGAGATGCTTCAGCCTTCTTCTCTTCATCAGCGTTTACAGCTCGCGGCACAGCGACTATACGTTCAAATCCGCGTAGTAAAAGTGTCGTGCGTAGAACGGCCATAGTGCGTCGGTGTCGTGGGAAATTTAAATTAACGTTAGAAGCCTTGACACGGTCCTTATACGCCGCGGTATTTTAACGCTCAAGACGATTTTATGTGAACTCGTAAAATTTCAGTTCAAATTGCCTTCGAAGTCCTCTGAGGTCCCGAGTGTCGTTCATCGAGAGTTTACTTTGATTTCGGTGGTGTCAGCTGAGTCAGTTGGTAGAATGGTCTGCGCATGCGCACGAGCGTGCCGTAGAATGACGCGCGACAGAACGCTACGGAGACAAGATGGCAGCCACTTTCTTCGGTCGTACCTTTATCTCGCGCGTTTCCATTATTTACGTAGTATATATATCGTTTCCGCTGTGTGATTTTTGTCGTTTATTTATTATCGCTGCGTCTTTATGTCGTACCGTGTTTCGAAACTTCACAATGGCTTGCTTTTCTTGCGTATTTTACGAGCCATCGGTGGAAGTGATAAAAGGTGGATTTATTATCAGACGAGATCAACCAAGAGTAGCTTAAACGAAAGTGGCGGGTGAGGAATGTCTTTCTTTTCTTCTTTTAGATTTACTTTTCTTCCGCGCTCTCTCGTTTTACCTTCCCTTTACGACCTGCTTCGTGTCACGATCGCGTATTACTGTATAGTGTAGGAGCTTTAACCCAGGAATGGTCGCGCGATTTTTGTCTTCACCCGAAAAGCATTCAGTTAAGGTGTATGAGATATCCTACGTGCCTACTACCGTGTTAACTGCGGTCGGGACTGCTTGGCGTTCTTGTATGTTGAAAATGGTAGATAAAGGAGTTGTACGAATTTTTTTGACGAAATACGAACATTTTCTTAAGTTCCATATTTTTACAAGTTAAGGATAAGTCTGGAGTATTTTTTTCAAAGTTTTCCATTACGCCATAGTATTATAATAATTCGTGGTAGGTACTCATCATACAATTTTATTCGTAATGAGAAAAATTTAAGCGACGCTAAAACAAAGAGTTTTCAGTTTTTCCTAGTTCCTTTTTATATATTTTTTTTTTTGTAAAGAATGACTAGATTTTATTTTAAAAACAAAAAATATTCTTTTCACGTATATTTTAATAATGAACCCTAGCTACAGTTTGTATAAAGTCCATTCAGTCGTTTGTAAGGAAAGATTTAATTAGGAAAATTAATTGAATTTTACCAGAGCTTCCGTGAATCGGGACGATGAATTGATTTTTGATTGGATAACGACGAACCGACTGCGTCGCATTGCTCGGAGAGAAAAAAAAGTCTCGCCGTCGAACGATCGTCTTATCCGAACGGAATTACTGGTCACAGAAGATTTCACGAAAAAAGATGTCATTCGGGCTTCGCTTAGACGTTATTCCGCTTGTTCGCCTTTTTTCTTCGGTCCTTAATGCTCATCTTTTTCTTGTCGCGCATCTTACGGTCATTAAATGGATAATTGATTGTGCCTTATGTATACCTATATAATCGATCAGGCGAAAAACAAAAACGTCAAATACCACTATTTACTTAATTTGTTAAAGAATAAAAATAACGAAGGTGCTATATACTTGGGATTAATCCTATCATTAAAAAAAGTGACTAGTTTTCCAAACCCACCAACCATAACCCAACAACAAACCGTCTCACGACATTACCCAGGATCTCACATAATTATCAGCAGACAATACGAAGAGGATATCGATAACGAGAAAAACAGTTTCAAAACTATGAAGTTTCAGGTTTCATGATCGAGATCCCGCATCACTTTGAAACTGTGCTTAGGCAAACTCTGCTGAAGATTAATCAAATTTGGCGTTGATCTTCTCTCAAACTGACAGCAGCTTACTACTAAAGAACCTAATGCAGCCCATCACAGCGTAGCCTGATGGTTCTTAATATTAAAAAAAAAATATTTAAAAATCCCACTCCGATTACATTGCCAGAGTTACGCATCTCCATAATCCTTCTTTCTGTGTGCTTCGGAACGGCACTTGGGCCCTTTTCCTGTCGCAGCTACCTTAAGTTTCCAATGCCCGATTAACATGCAGCATGGTGCGGAGTATTTGCTGGGGTTAACCGTATCTGGGTATATTAATATGCGCCACCCGTTGTACTACTATTCATGCTGTTCCCACCATTTACTAAACTATCGAATTTAGCCCCTGTGGTCAGGATCCTTGTACCCTACCAGAGCACGATCTCCTACAGTTTTTATCGTTCCGGGAGTTAAATGGGAGCTGGGGGTACCCTAATTTCTCCTCTCGAACTTCCTCGGTCCATCCGATCAGGGATGAACGACCAGGACCATCCCGGGGGTTCCCCCCCTGAATAGGTCTGTCAGCATTGGGATCCTGATACTTCACTGATACGGACTTCCGCGCCCTACGTCATACCAACCCGCTCGATTCGTCGGTTATGATCAAAATCTGACTGGTCCATCCGATCAGGGTCGTACGACAAGAAGGATGATGCTGCGTCGGGCCAGCATCTTGTCGCAGTCGGTGCTCCACTCTGCAAGCTCAGATAAATAAGGGTTAATACTCGCTCATAATCGTACGTACGTATTTTATTCCACCTCTATTCACCAAAATGTTACAATCACAACCGAAAGATACACACTGATAAGAACACCACTGTACAGCCAGATTCCGAGATTAATTTCACTTACTCATCTCGCGCACCTTGCTGTTTGCCTAGTTGCAGTATTACTACTAGTTGGTCTGCCCTTCTTCCTCTCACAGATTCCCCTGAAAACGGCTGGGACTCAATAGTCCTCTGTCCCGTTGGGAACAATCCTCTTGCATTCCGGATTATTCCACGCAATTGCAAAGAATCTGGTAATTCGTTAACGTATACAAATATCCACCTGTAAATAACCAGCTTAATTTAATTAAATGTACATACCTAGATACGCATATATTACACAATAAGAAAAAAAAATTAAAAAATTTGAATTCATTTAAAATTACAATTTTTAGCAAACCCTCCATAGAAATTATTATGGAACGTGTTTAAAAACAATTATTTTATTTCTTGTAAACCTAATTTTTCGACCCAATTCGATTGGTTCGAATATTATCGTTGTATTTCAACTCAAAATTTTTGTTCCTCTATTTGCTTCTGCTAAATTCTCAAAATTGATATACATATATATATGCATATAGAAGAACGCAGAATAGATTAGCAGGGATCTTGTATTACGGTTTATCGGAATAAGGGATTTGCAAGCGATTCCACCAGCTGTCCTATTATTCCTGTTATCATGGGAATGCCCAGAGACTCCAGGTCCTCCAGGACTCTAATAATGCTCGCGGGATGACGATGGAGTATACAACGATGTAAGGCGAACGGAGAGAGAGAGAGAGACAGAAAGAGGGTTTGTAGGTTGGTAGGTAGGTACATTCCTGAAAGGTATTCGGTAATAGAACGACAGGAATCTCCAATATGGGACAGAATAATGAATAATTCTTCTGGGATGTGCACTTTTTCACGCTGCTGTGCCCTCCTTCTACGCGTTATAATATTATCCGACCATATATGTATATAAATATATTTGTTATATATCTCATCGACGAATCTATCGTGCATTGAGTACAGCCCTCGTTAAGGCTGACTACAATAGAACGCCGTGAAGGACCCTAGAACGTATCAGGAGTGATTTGTGAATTTTTCGTTGGGGATCTACAGGGTGGTCGAAATAAAAATGTATTACCCGGAGTCTGGCAAGTGCACTTTCGTTAGGCGATACTTGAGTAATTAGTTACTATCTCGCCATTGGTCAATATATCTGCTAGGATTGCTCGGGTTGGATTGGTTCGCGCGTGAGGACCTTGGGTCCCCCAGTTCCTCGGTGTGGAATCTTGGAGAGTCCTGGGATCCTCTTAAGCGAGGGCAATCTTTTAGCCAGCGAGGTGATGGATGAGAGAGCTTTCTACGAGAGGTGCCACGGGGGAGGATATTGCGCTTTAAGGGATGAAGTGACTCGCCGAGGAAGACAGACCGAAGGAACCGGAGAAAGAGAGAAAGAGAGAGGAGATGGCAGACTTAACGAGAAAGAGAGAGTATAGTATCGAAGTATATGACCCGACGGTATATGACAATCAGATAGGTAGATAGATGTGTTTTATTTATACCCTAGGACTTTCTTAGACATACACCCAGTGATACGATTCTTTAAGATTCTACAAATTTCTCTATAAATTTTCACGCAGTGAATTTTTTATTTAGTCGATGTAACGATGCAGGAAAAAGGTCGTGTGGTTTTGAAAAGTGGGCTCGGGCAGGTAACTCCCGAAGGGCAGTGGCGTGCGAACGATTTGGGAGAAAGAACGAAAAAGTATGGTACTCCGGCTCGATCTCGGAGAAGACGATCGGAAGCTCGTCGAATCTTAGTGAAAAGGGACGCCCGGTATAACCCTGGATGTCCTGAAGGAATTTCTGTAAAAACGTATCCCCGGCCGGGTCTCCGTGTGCGCATTGTTGGAGGTCTGGTCCGAAGTGCCAACCTTACGGACAATGTGCCGAAGGGTCTGCTGAGACCTGCCTCTTTGTCAATGGCCATAGAAAATGTCCACGAGGACGCGTCTCGACGCTTGGTCTCTCCGGCTGTCATAGAAATTCGTAACTGGATTTATTCGTCTCTCAGCCGCGGGTCCATGACCTTTTTCCTGAACCTTTCGTCAGCTTCTGCACTTGGATCCAACTTTTGAACCTTCTCGACCCCCTATTACCCACCCTCTTCCTCATTCTCCTCGTCCCACTGCATTCATGCATTCACCATCCTCTGACTCCGTCCCTTTGGACGTCACTGTCTCCTTACAGCCTCAAGCAAATTGACCGGGTTTACCCGCGGGTCTCGGCGGTGGGACGTAGGAAGTGACTTTACCGACGATTCATCCAAAAGTTACTAGACACTCGGTGTTAATTTATGCACTGGCTGTGTATCTGCTACGTCATCGCAATTTACCAGATATTGCGAAGTGGCTGCGAAATCGTCGTTTCGGTCGCAGCTGAGCTCGTGTACCGTCGGTGCTCCAGTCACTTCAATCGTATGACATACATATGAAGCAGGCGGGCGATGGGGGAGGAACGGGTGCCGGGCGTTATTTGAAATGGAGATAGTGCTTTAAGCTTCGTCAAGGGAAAGACAATGGCGCTGGGTTTTAGTTTAAAGGCTATCTCGAATGGTCTCGTGGTCTTTAGTGCGATTTATATTAGTCGTATAATCTTATATGGTTATTATGGATTATTCTATTTACGATTTCGCTTTAATGGATATGCGCCATACTGAATTACGTTTGCCAGACTGTTATCTTGGTACGAGACTGGTTTTGGTGGGTGGGGGAGATTTTGATAATTTTTTTATTTTAATATCAGTTTACCTTTTTTTTTTTATTGTACGGTGGAATTCCAGGAACGCCTTTTTGGGGACATTAGATTTTATCCTATAGATCACGCAATAGTGGATGTTTAAGTACGTACGTATATCGTCGATAGCTCTTTCCCTTTGCATGGAAATCGTTCTGTGAAAAGGAGATTTTTTTTTTTATCGATAAATGATGGAAGTGGAATTTCTATAGGAACCAATAATAGTTCCTGAAGGCGTCGTTGAAGTTCTTATATATATATCTTGCACTACAGGTTCTTATATTACGTTCGACTTTATTGGCTTCTGAAAATGCTCACAGCTTCGTTATTAAGCTCTCGATGAATTATTAATTTCCGATAGTCGCGATGGAATTCAATTAAAGTACGACTGCTCGCTTTGGGCGCCTATCGTTAATAGCCCTAGTAGCACTTTTGGTTGAGAAAAAAAGGGATGCTCGCGACTGGAGAGCGTCGAGACGCTTTCTTACTGAATGAATCGACGCACCTTGTTTAATACCTGCGAATAAATTGTTCATGGTAATTCTGATCGGTTTTATTGATATTTTCAATATTTTATTACTATGAATAAACGACTCAGACACCCTGTATATTATTATTGGATTTGACGGAAACGCAAATTTACTTCAATATGGGACCAGTGGGAATCGTTTGGTCCCATTGTTATGTGTCAGTCGAAATCTCCAGATTAGCTAATAAAGTCAGCGTTCATTTTATACTGACTTTGCACGAGAAGTTTCGCATGCATACATTCCCCCGCTGTCTCCATTGTTCTAAACAATAGAAACAAATTGAATTAAGGTCGCGACTCAGCCGGCTCGACAGATTTGCAATGGATATGCGCGCGCTAGAAGCTTTTTGCAGCGGCACAATTTCCGCTTCCGCAATGGTAAAACGTACGGGATTTGCAGTTGGCTCTATCTAGTTATGCAGTAGAAAAAGAAAGGTCATTATCCATGGAAAACGTGGTTGTACATACGAATAAGTATGCATTTTAAAAAAATTTTTATACTTCTTGTACATAGGACAGCACAAAATACGTATTAACCTGTGACAGGTATGTTTAGTTAAAATTACCCAAGATTTATGTAAAAATACAATTTTTTGCAATATTTTATTTATTTTATATTTTACACTTTAACGATATCCCAGAGATAATTTTAATGAGCTCTCACACATTTACTTAGTTATGATGAAATGTAGGAATTTATAGTTATAACAAAATTTGACACGCCCTGTATATACCTGAATTCATGGATTATAAAATGCACGTGCACAAGTAAGTCGTTCCTGCTTGCATCTCCAGCCTGTAGTATCTCCCAAGTCCTTCGCGTCGCTGTAATTAACGGTAGGAGGTCAAGTGCTATACTTTTAACGAGATCTACCGCGCACGCGCAGAAGACTTAGAAGCAAGTCATTCGAAAAACAAGAGGCAAGAAGTACGAAAATTTCTTATAGAAGAAAATACAAGGACGCCGTTACGATTTAATTCGCCGAATTAGGAAAAATTGTAATAACTTTATTAAACTGTAAATACAATTGATCGTTATTGAATGATAAATTATTTTTACCTCATCAATTAATTATTATATCTCTTAAAACGACGCTTGATATTGCGGTTCACGTAAACCAGAAGGACTGACCTCCAGGCACTGAGCAACAATTAGCTCGTTGCAGCTTTCTGCCGCAAACCACTTAAGCTTATAATTTTCACCCCCTTGACTACCCCATTAATTATTACACCCCTACATCCGGCGGCGTACACCTTGCGGGCGAGCAGGACGTCCTGGATTCCCTTTAATTAAACAAAATGCGAAAAATCTGCCGAGTGCATTGTTTCGTGTCAACAATTTTTATCAAGCAAATTTTTGTGAATTCAAAAATCTTTAGTTATTCAAGTATTTTCAGTAAACGAGTCTAGTCGGTACCCGAGGATACACGAGAAAGAATTAATCTCCTATAGCTATATGTATAGAGGGTATATGTAATTGATACGGAGTAATGACGTCAAGGAACGAGCTATATTAAATCCATTAAAAATTTGAAAAAAATTTAATTTATAAAAATTTTTCGGTACAAAGTTTTTGTCCGTTTAAAAAAATTACGTTCAAGCGGGACAAAGCTACGAGAAAATTTGCTCCGCCGATTATGCGTGACGCAAAAGTTACGGGTACCACTTAAGGGTTCGCATATGCGCTAAGTGGTCGCATGGGATCGTGTCGACCCTTGAAAAAGGGAAAAAGAAAAGAGTCGCTCGTTAAACGAGGTTCGTCTTTTATATATGGTCAAAAGTTTCAGAGAGCTACGTCCATTAACCTTAAAGTGACGAGCAAAGGCTAGTTTCCGGGGGAAACTCCGACACACTTTTTCTATAGGGTGAAACAAGATTTTCTGTCGCGTGAGCGGAGGCGAACGTTTGAATGGACGTTCGCGCAATAGTTTTTACGACTCCTTGAGTAATTCTGTTGTAGCACGTAGTAAGCTAACCTCACCTATGAGAACCTGGCTTAAGTATCTCTCCACTGAAATGTACACGGCGTGCTTTATTTTACTTTGCCAAAAAAAATGTTAAAAAACAACCATAAAATCTCGGTAAAAAAAATTCATCTATTTTTTTTTCCTCCAACTTCAAATTTCTCGTCAGACTTATCGGAAGTGCCAAGTCCAACCTCAGATGACTCGAAGGACCCACGAGGAGGATGCTGGTAACTTCTTACCAGTTACCACGTATATACCTGCAGGTTCATTACCGCGCAATATTCTTTTTATAAATTTAATTAAAAGAAGATATACTTCGGCGAACGGCTGATGGCGATTCCTTGATGCTTAAGGAGAGGCACCATCTGTGATGGTGTAAGAAAAAAGGTTGAACAAAAATTAGATTTATTTGGTATTTTTTTGTATGCTTTACAAAACTTTGTCCATCGTCGGTGCGCTCTCTGATGACATTTGGTAAAAGTTCGATACGATTTATATTAATTTTAATCATTTTCATATATTTGCATTATGGAGGCAACATTTTACACGAAAGAAATTCTATTTATATTTGTATCCAATTATTAGGATGTTATTTCGGATCTTACGGTCATGGACGCCATTTAAATTTAATGGCTCGAAACATGACATGAAACACATATTACTGTTCGATCAAGCAGCAAGATCATGCAATAAATGTTTGCATCATTTCTTCGAGCCCGCGAATCACAAGAAATATCTTTCCAATTTCCCATAGAAGCGTATCGTTCGAGAACTCGGTTACAAGGAGATTGACGATTTTTGTATTTTTCACATAAAATATCGCGTATTACGGAGCAATTAAAAAACAGATTAACTAAAATATTTATAAAAATATTTGAAAACCGAAAAATCGTACAAATATTTTTTCAAACCCTGGCCAAATTCACTGTAGAATCCGTTACACTCACTGAATAACACTTTTGATCGCAATATTAAAATAATAAATTATCCCACGCAGTGACACTCGTAAATATTTTTCACCGATCCCATTAAAAATATTTATCACCCGTCAAAATCACGAAAGGAAAAATAAAAAAAAAAATTAAATCCACTACAAAACGTCTTCTTCGATAATCATACAGCTTGAAATTTCCATGAATATATTAGACATCCAATCTCCCAGCAGTTAGACTATGGTTACTTTGTAGAACGAAGAGAAAAAGAAGAAAAAAATAATTCATCTACAATCTCGAGCTTTTCCTACGGAAACATACATATAGCCACGTAGTCCTAAGCCGAAGTAAAAACGGAAAAAGATCCACTGAGACGTGTACGGCATCCAAAACAGTTCTTCCTGGTTCAAGTAGATTTATCGTATTATTCAGATTCCTAAACTGTACCTTAAGCCTGAATTAAGGCTAAGGACAAGGACCTTGAATTTTTTCTCAAATTTCATATCATTTTCCTCTTTACTGGAAAATCGAGCGTGAGCCTCGCTATGATTGAATTTAAAATTGGTCCACGAGGCTGAGGATTTATCTAACCGCAACAGACGGGCCTAACGAGGCGTGACGAAGACTCTGCGAAGCATCGAATTGAAAAAGGAAGGTTCTCTCTATCTTGCGTCTTTCGTCCTTAGGTCCTTTTTAGGCCATTGCAAAGGTTTAGCGAAGCCAGTTAATTCAGGCAGATATTTTTACTACTACTTATGGGAGAAACCTAACCTAACCTAACCCTAACTATGATACCAAGTCCCCCATTATGCGAGCTTCGAAACTTTTTCAGAATGAACAAGTTGACTGGATCAGATTGAAATTATTGTCGGGGAAAAGAAAAAGTTCAATAAAATTATTTTAGTACGAGTTTTGATTACTCAACTTTCTACTTAATATTTCGATTTTGTATTGTCATTATTTATTTGACGTATATACTTACTGCTCGATACTTGTATCCGACTCGTGGATTGATTCTTGCTGTACTTGAAGTAATTCCTAAGAATTACGTCTGATAAGAAGGTATTATCGATATAAAAGGAACTCTGAATGTTTTCTATGGCTATATTTTATACCCGTCGTGAAAGCATTAGAATAAATATGATCGGAAAAATGGTCCTGGAATTCTACGGAAATGAATGGCGTAGAAAAAAACTTGTGAAAATCAAGGACAAAAGAAAATTCTTATAGCAGGATTTTCTTTCAAACGAGCTTGCCGTAGACGATTAAAATGGACTTTACGAAGTAGAAGTACACGAGGAAGATAAATAATAAGAAATAAACGAAAACGTGTCAAAGGACGAGAACGAAAAAATGAATAAGGCATACGAAGTTTCATCGTGAGTATTTTTATGTTCGTCAATACAGAGCGCAAATGAAAAATCGATGTAAGACGCCATCGTGAAAAGTTCAAATGTCACTCAGACTCCAGATACTTTAACTTGCAGTTCGGAACTTTGTGAAATAACGAAATATCTGTCGTACAGAAAGTTTCGGAGAGATCATTATTGACTTCCAGAAAATAACCTTTGAAAACCGACGATCTGGCACCACAAACTTCACACGATTCACAAACCCGATCCATTTGCCAGCCGGTCAGAAGTTTATTGGCAAATAAGTTTTCGTTGAATACAGTAAGAATTCTCGTAAGATTATACCACATGAAACCACACACAATTTCGTATCGTAACGACATTAAACGTAAAAAAGCAGAAATGAAAATAAAACTGTCTGAAAGAACACCAGTGTCGAATGCACAAATTTTTTTAGTCACTCTCCAAAGAACAAGCCTAACACGTATTAATCCTTAACTACGCATGCGCGGTGCCACGGCTCGCCAATTTCATTTCTAGCCCTCCCATAGAATTTGTGTCGACTTATATTTTCAATGAACTCAAAAAAAACCTATTCGATCATTATTTTTGATACCTATTCGTTAAATTCAATTAAACCTTGCTGACCCGTCACGAATATACACTCGTGTTGCCATGGCCGAACGTTGCCGACCGATCATATGTACAGTCGTGTTGCTGCAAGTTGTTAATACTAGAGCGATATAAACATCTATGTACCTTCGAATTACTCTATTCCTTGTAATAGCCTAACAATCCAACGTCACAGATTGAGATCCCACAAACTTCGCCTTGTAAACTATGTTCCTAAATTCGAATCTGTGCAGTTAAGGGTTAACAGACCGATGGAAAAGTTTCACTCGAAATACACTCTCACGAACTTATTTTCACGAGGAGCCAAGAAAAAGTAATTTCGTAAACTATCGTAAACTCAATACGCTTACTAGACATGCACAACGAAGGAAGGCTTACCTCGGTAAAATGACGATTTCCAAAGTGAACGATCCTTAACCTTAAACGTTCACAGTTTATTCACAAGCTCGGTAAGACAGTACACAATGGCCAAACACTGTACAAAGAAGAGACAGAAACGTTATTGTACGAAGGGCTTCCACCACACGTCAACAGCACGGTTAAACAAAGGGATTTCGAAAACGTGAGGCGACAGACCCGAGCACAGCGAACACTACGCGTAACGGTTACGGTGCGTCTATGGCGGACGGCTTGATTTAGATTGCTAATGGCGGCGTGGCGTGACGTGTCATACCACTCGCGCGGGAAATTCAAATGAAATGCCTTGTTTAGACAGTTTCAAGAGCTATTGATATTGTTTTGAATTTCGCGCTATACTCCGTGAGGATTGAAGTGGGCATTGTGTTTTTACTCTTGTCATGAATCTGAGCACAAAATACATGCTCGCAAGAGTATGTAATGTATTAACGAGGTAAACAACGTTGATAAATAATTTTTGTGTCTTTAACGTCTATGAGCTAATGACTTATTCGTGAAGATGAGTTAAAACGTGTAATAGCATTGAGTGTTATCTTATTTCTGTTCAAAGCTCTACGCCTATGGAATTTGTGAATGTTTGGTTAAACAATCATTGGCAGAGGTCCTATAGCTGTGATCTGCTGTCAACCTCGAGACAGGTAATTGCAGTTGATCCTCCTTAGAATTTATCTCCTGTGATACTTGTGCCCTACGTCATATCCGCTTTAAATCAACGTATTTGCACGCTTGACACTCGGCCAAGTGTAACCACTGAGTTTCTTACGTAAACTCAAGCTTTTCTAGGGAGCTTGTCTTTCGCGGCTTCCAGGTGGAATCTGGATTTTTTTTCTCTGGCATCATTGGCGCAGCGAAAATATTGCAAATCGCATCGAACGTTGCACGCTCATAACTTTTCCATATCCCTGCTTCCCTTTGAGGTTGGATTCAATTTTTCAAATGGAATACGAGATGGAAGCTCAGAACGATTTGAGTTTCATGGAAATTTTAATCAAAGCCATTCTTTCGAACCTAGACATTTTCTCATAGTTCGGGATCGATTCATTTAAATCTGCTTGCGTCGATTCGATGAAAGCAGCTTTTAATCGAAGTCCCTCCGTGCGGAACCTCTTGTCGCTTTTTTATTTTATTTTCGATCTTTTTTTTAATTCTTTTTAATCAAGGGTAGAATGCTATTCGTACTTTTCACTTTGATCGTTTGACAAGGATTGGGTGATAGTAAAATGTTCACCGGACTACTATCGTCTGGAGGTTTTCAGGAAGAAAATGGCGTTTAGTCTTTTTTTTCGTATGCCGGTCCATTTTTTTTTCCAAAACTTCTCTCGCCTCTGCTATTTCGACGATTTATGGTCTGACGTAAACCGTGGGTTATCATGAATTATTGTCGGTCGATCGTATCTTAAATATTTGACGACGTCGTATTATAATTTCAGGAAGCTCTACGTGGCTCGGGTTGCCGATTGTTGTTAAGCTCGCTGAGAAATTCAGGTGAGCCATTATACGTACTGGCGATATCTCAAAGTCCTATACGTGAGCTGCACGGACGTAGTTCTCAGAGATTCAGGCGGCTTCTTGTTATTTGTTCTTGAACGCTGAAGAAACGGCATAGTTGATGATTACAATTTCTCAATATTTTTAATCGATTCAATTGAATTCTTGAGAACATCAATTATTAGGAGGTTAGGTATACACAGGTACACTTACTTTTATACTCGCGTGGTATATTATTAGAAAATTGAAGCGAAGCTGAAATAGTTCTTATCGTAAAATTAGAAAATTATTACAAGCACCTTATACCGGGTGGTTCAGAACTAAGTGTTTTGGTAACCTACAGGTTATTAATATCCGTCCATTTGAGATGATATAGTATGTTAGCTCAGGTTATGGTACAAGGACCAGGAACACGTTGTTGTTTTATGAAGCGTGACGGCAAAATCGGAGGAATAAAAGATAGTAGGGCTGTTGGGATTTTTCCGAAAAAAAAAAGATCGCACTAGGAACGTGACGTATTATCACAATTTATTTTGGATTTTCTCTATTTACGATAGAATAACCATTCGGCGATGGGGCCATTATCATTCTGCAGGATATCAGGCATGGATTTTAGGATTTAAATTTTTTTTACAGGGCGCATCAACTTTTTCATATTTCTTCCTTGACTGGTAATCAGTAATTTTTTTTTCACCTTCATTCATCCCCCCCACACGTTTTATCCTTACACCCATCCGAGTGACTGAAAATTTTTGACCGGCAAAATTTTCTACCTTTGACCTCCTATCTCTTATAATCAAGGGTAGTCGCAACCCCTATACCAGAATCGATCCCGCAGACATAAACCCTCCATTAGACAGTATCAAATATTGCGATACTCGAAACGTCAGTTATCCCCCTTGATAACGAGTGCACAGTTTCACCCAACCAAACCCCACGAGTTTTATTCCACTGGAACGTACGTTTCCAACCCCTATTTCCGGTTTGATTTTTGGGGTCTTACGGCGTATCCTTACATCTGGCACAGAAACATCCCTTACGAAGGAATCCGCCGGTTTATTCCCACGGTAGTTAAAACATCCCTTAAGTTATCATTTCATCCCCCAACCGAGTCGTAGGAATTTATCTTTGTTGGAAAATTTGCTGCTTCCACAGGGTGGTACAGGATACTTCTTCTTGGACCCTCCAATTCCCACTAGTCACTGGGTTCATCCCAAATCCAAAATTCACGATCTTACGTAATCAAGCCCTCGTTGTAATAATTCAATGTAAAAAAAGAAACCCTATAATTATTTTACACCCTTGCCATTTAAACCATCCCCTTTAGTTAGTATTTTCACCTTGCACCAAGTATGGGGTAGCATTAGCAACCTCCTACCCTTATCCTATACCCTGCATCTACTACAAGGCACTGAAGGGATATCTACGTACTTGTTTCTCCACTCGAGCCAATCTTACACGTCGCTGATCGACAAAGCGGAGCAACGTCGTACATCTACTATACCTATCCCACGTATTAATATCTAAAGGCTCTGGCTGTGCTTTTCATCCTGTACTCCGCCTTTTTTTATCGTTCAACTTCGCGAGCCCCTTTACATTTGCAAATTCATCTTCGCGACCATCAGGCTAACACAGGTCGCTCGAGTGTAGGATCGAAAAGTTACATTGATCCAGCGGTATATTGCTTCGTCCTACGCCTATGGGACTCTATGCTGCGTTATATTTTACATATATTTATATATATTATATATATATATAGAAATACGTTCCATTGCTAATGGTATATTGGATTTTAATATCTAGAGACTGCGGTATTTTTTTTTCAGTTCGATTTTTATCGAATCCTCCACTTTTCTAGATTCCAATCCTAGTTGTTGGGAAGAGTGTTTTTTGTATGTGTATATATATATATATATATAGATTGTTGGTTTTTGCGAAATTTGATAACGTGGAAGACACTGTGGTAGTGCTGGGATAACCGACTGAGCCAACAGGATACGGTTACTCGTGTCGTAATATATCTATAGGTTGTTAAGGAAAGGTTAGATTTTTCCAAACTTTTTTTTGCTTTTCCGATGGTTCGTTACTGGGAAAATTGTATATGTGAATGTGAGTGGAATCGTTTTTATCGATTCCGGAATCGCCTTGTAAAAGGTTTTTATTTAATGTAACTTGCAGGTAGGTGATTAGGTTTTATCGTGTAGATATTTCGATAAATATTTTATAACGTAACAGTGTATTATTTGACCGAGTGGAATTTCAAGGTAGGAATAATATTATACATGGGTTTCCTTTCGGCTGTAAAAACTTTTTGAAAAATATTGAATTTCATGCACGGTAGGTAACGTATGAGAATTTTTACATGGGCTCGCCCGACCCCGAGAATAAAGTTTTGATTATACGTTAGAAAGTTGAAAATAACGTTTTTCGACAGCACAGCGTGTCTATTCACGAAGTTACGAGCTTTGCAAATTTTTAACAATGTTTCCTTTCGGTTATTCCGATGCACAAGATGCTAATTGAATTTATGTAAAGTTTATTATTATTTTTGTTTTTTCCAAAAAGTTTGACAAAAATTAAAAAAAAAGATTTTTTTTATCAAATTATATCCGATCTGCCATAAATAAATTAACTTCGGACGCGGCGCTGCGCACGCAGATTTTCACGATGCTTTAGCGTCGCGACGCTGCGCTACCCGACGCTTCTATATCCAAGAGCTACGTTTCGTCAGTCCGTCGACGTAGTCTCAGGCGGGACTACGTCCCTTCCCGTTAGAACTCCAATCTAACGTGCTCTCGTTCATTTCGCTTCTACACGTTAAATACAACGCGATTGTGTTCTCCAATTCGGTATAATCGAACGCAATAACGATAATATAAAAAAAAGTCAAAATAAAAATAAAAGTTGCACTTAAATTCGCGCGTTCTCAAAAAGTGGCAATTTCTCCATTATCCTTTCTCTTTATCGTGTTATCTCTCAATGTAACATTTCAGCATTGCTGCCGCCACTGCGTATTTTTTTTTTTGAAAAAATTTTTTTGGAAAAAAATTTTATACGCAATCTTAATTTTCGTGTTGTCGGTGGGAAATATTTCTTTTTTTTTACTGATAAACTTTTTATAAACATCTTATGAAAAAAATTTTTTTCTTGTGAATTAATCCTTCTTAAAAATATATACATATATGTTTCGTAACTCGTGTCACTGATTGTTAGTTGTTTATTGTAAAAATATATATATATATGTATATATATATATATATATATATAGACGTAGATGGGCGGCCATTTTGATAAAGTCTAGGGAAGGGAAGGAGGCGGGGTAGCCTTGATATTATTTTTTTTATTGTAAAAATATATATATATATGTAACTGATAAACTTTTTATAAACATCTTATGAAAAAAATTTTTTTCTTGTGAATTAATCCTTCTTAAAAATATATACATATATGTTTCGTAACTCGTGTCACTGATTGTTAGTTGTTTATTGTAAAAATATATATATATATGTATATATATATATATATATATATAGACGTAGATGGGCGGCCATTTTGATAAAGTCTAGGGAAGGGAAGGAGGCGGGGTAGCCTTGATATTATTTTTATGCATAAAGATATCGATTTATTTATTAATACAAAACTGAGAGCGTTCGCTCGTGCGTGATCTTTTAAGAAGAGAAAATTAGTTGAGATGAATT